CCAGGCCGCAGCCACCACCCTGCGCTTGGCCGCCTTGAGGAGCTCCTGGCTGATGTCACCACCCTCCTTCAGTGCCGTCACCGCAAAGATGTTGGCCATCATCATCCTTTGGTGCCGTCACCGTGATGGCAGCCATCATCGTTGTCCTCTGGTGTCACCATGAAGATGTCGGCCATCGTCATCACCGTTCTCTGGTGCTGTCACCATGATGTCAGCCATCATCCTCATCATCCTTTGGTGTTGATGTCGGCCATCATTGTTGTCATCCTTTGTTGTTATCGCCATGAAGATGTCGGCCATCATCATCATCCTTTGATGTTGTCACCACGAAGACGTTGGCCATCGTCATCACCATCTTCTGGTGTCACCACAAAGATGTTGGCCATCATCATCGTCATCCATCCTCTGGTGTCGTCACCACGAAGACGTTGGCCATCGTCATCATCCTCTGGTGTCACCACAAAGATGTCGGCCATCATCGTCCTTCGGTGTTGTCACCGTGATGTCGGCCATCATTGTCACCATCCTCTGCCGTTGTCACCACGAAGATGTCGGCCATCACCACCCTGTGCTGCTGTCACCACGATGACGATGGTCGGCCACCACCATCACCGTTCCCTTCAGCGCTGTCACCGTGTCACTGCTGTCACACAGACGCCATGGCTGCCGTCCCTCGCTCACACCAAGACGCTGCCTTTGGCCGCCGTCCTTCAGCGGCCATGTTGTCACCTTCCAGCAGTGGCCGCCACGCACGCCTTGGCTCCGGATCTTCGGCGTTGGCCACCATCTTTGTTTGTCCTTCATCCATGGCGCCATGGCGACGTTGGCCGTCGCTGTCCTTGGTGCTGTCACCACAAGGACGTCGGCCATTGTCCTCCACCTTTGTCACCATGAGGACGTCGGCCATTGTCCTCCACCTTTGTCACCATGACGACATCGGCCGTTGTCACCATCCTTGGGCGCTGTCACCTCTGCTGGCCGCCTTGCTGTTGTCACCACGGGCGTTTTGGCCTCATGCTGTTGTCACCACCAAGATGCTGCCCAGCGCCCTTCGCTTTTTGTCCCCTTCAGGAGCCGCCGCCGTCCTTTGGCTGAGCC